TGGTTCCTACCCGGAAAGTTCTGCTTTAGAACTCCCTTGAAAAATCTCGACCCTTGGAGACCTTTCTAGATATAACTGACCACTTCTTCTGGTGTAGGCTGGCCCCCTACATCAGAACGAGTGTGCGTTTTTGCCATCATAAAAGCCCGAGCCTCATGCGATGTGAGGTTGCAGAACTTCGTATCATCCAGGTCCACGTCGCCTCCTCTGGGATGCCAGCCATGGTAGAGCCTGCCTCCTTGCACTGCGATGTTGATCTTCAGAGCTGGTTTCCTGATAGTCTTCAGAGTGTCCTTGGGGTTGGTAATATATACAGTCTTCAGAAATATCCTTTACTGTATCTGTTAGATTCCTTATATTTTCCTATATTAATAAACCAGTTGTGAGTTCTCTATTTGTTTCTTGTTTTCTCTCACCTGGAATGCTCAAACTCTGGAACAGATCTAGACCAATCTGGTGTGAAAATTTGGGCTACTTATCAGTCCTATTCCACAGCCCGTGCGCTGGGTATGTATCAAAGTGGTAAAACCCCCCAAGCATTGCTGTTGTTTCCTCTTTAAATGTATCAGTTAGGAAAGTTATCCAAAAGGACAATTACATACTCTATACCCGAAAGAAGGGAGGCCATGTCTGTTTGGTCCAGAGCAAGATTGGGGTTCAACGGAGCAACTTTGACTCACAATTCTTATATGCTGCTGCTCTCTGGTGCTGAAGCTCAGTACCACCATTTCCTTCCAGCTCTGTAAAATAAAAGTTTGGTGAAACACTGAAATATTAGCTCTTTTCATCATTTATCAGGAGCCATAACATCATTGGTGTGCCCAAATATTTCTGATCTTAAAAAAAAAAAAAAGAGGAAGATTTAAATGAAAGAAATGCAGTAATAATAGAGAAAATCATTTACCTTGAAGAGGCAAACAAAATGTTCATTTTGCAAGTCTTGCATACTCTACGGGAGTACATAAAAGGGCATAACTATTTATGGCATCTAAGTAAGAACTAAATCTATTAATTAGGAGTAACTTTTCTAAGTGTTATTTTTATGCACTAAATTGAGTAGTTTTTAGTTTCAAGAGATTACAAGTTCATTTATCTCAGTTCAAGTCATACTGAATAGCTCAGCTGCTTAGTATTTAATAAGAACTACCACAAATTATTTGGAGAATGGTTCTTTTACTGTTCCTAAGAAATTGAGAGTATTAATTTAGGGTAATTTACTTGCCTTGCTAAAAGACTCCACGTTTAAGAGTAATCATAGTATATTAAAATCTAACAGAGTTAAACACACAGAATCAGCCACAACACTGCAAAGCTTTGCCATTGTATGCATTGTGAAACTTGCATTGTAATATTATGAGTAAGTAATGGAAACTTCAGCTTGCATGTGTCAACAGCAGAAGCTTACTTCCAGATTGAGAAGCCTCAGTATAGCTATGTAGTATAGCTACAGTTATGCATCTTCATTTTTGCTCCTAGAGGGAAGTTGGTATAAATATTCCCTAGAATTTCAAAATGTGATAGGAGATTTTGTGGGGAAGACCTTTTTTTTTTCTTTTAAAGAACAGTCTTTAACCATGCGTGAGGAAACTCAGTTTTCATTTCTGTTCAATCTGCGATTTTACCCTGTTCAAGTTTTATACAGGAAAGTGCCCTAAATTGATCTCTTAATTGTATTTGAAAAGTCTGTAAGTTCACTTCTGCAATCTATAGAAGCTAAGCTTAGAATGAGACCTGTTTATGACTTTCCTGAAAATTAGTTCAACAGGAAAGTTTCAGGGCAGTTAACTTGTGCCTCTATATTTGTACGGGATGAGGGAGGAAAGTAGCTAAAAACAAAGAACAATTGAAAAAAAGTAATTTTGAAAGCTGGGGAAACAAGAGAAAGATTTTAGAATAGCACAGAGGGAAGTAACAGGAGAGAATTTTTTTCTTGGTGAGTGAGGTAGCCTCTTTATGGAGCCTGTGAAATACAGATATATATAGATATATATATATACATCTATATACGTGTGTGTGTGTAAGCCTACCCGTAAGCCTTTACTATCTGCTTGCAGCATAATGCTACCCAAAATATTGCCATACCTTATTTAGAAACCACAGGATGTTACAGAGATGGAGCAACCCATTCTGCAGAGAAAAAAACCCCACTAAACTGAATGGGAAGCAAGAACATATCCAGGCATTCTGTTTAACTGGGGTCTGGATTTTCTTCCTGGCTTTAAAATGTCTGAGAAATACAACATTCTGCTTGATTTATGGTGGTCCATATTTCAGACATTTCATTTATGGCACATATTTCAGACCTCTTGGGCAAAACCTGTGCTATTTTTTCGGCTACAAACTTTAATAAATAATGGACAAGATAGCAGAATTAGAACTGTGTAAAAGTGACTAAAAACAGTGAAAGAGGGACTACAGGGAAATCCAGCCACCCATCTGACATTCTGCTGCTTTAGAACAGTCTGTTCACTGTAACCAAAATGGTATTATAATTTAAAGGCTGTGACATATGGAAGATGTTAGCAGTTTCCATTGCCTCGTTCCACTTGGTAGACATACCCACTGAACCTATACAAGGTCCATTCCAAAGTAGGTGATTTGTGAAAAGTTTTCATGCTTCTGGTTCTTATAAAAACTGGTATATAACCAATATTTGAGTTTCATTTTGTTTTTTTTTTTTTGTTTCTACAGTGTAAGCATTTTATTTTAGAGAAAATCTGATTATAGTGTTACTGCTAAGAAGTCCTAACATTAGTAGGTGGAGATCTCCTGATTAAAGTCTATTTAGTCATTAGTACTATCTGCATGACAAAATGAAATCTTATTTCTAATACAGAGTATTTACATGATCTTTATCACTTGTAACTGTTACTGAAAAATGATAAATTAGGCATACACTTTCAAAATAACACCTGGCAGAGAACTCCTCCTATAAACTTGTTTAACCTTTTATTTTTTAGTGACAGATTGGAATTTATTATTTTGAAAGTCTTGGAGCACCTGGTCTGTGATATTATCAGAGTTATAAGAAATGCCTTGGAGGCGAAGGTGGGGGAATGGTTAGAACAAAAGCTATGATTCTTTAAAAAGTGCCTTTTATCTTAAGAACAAAATTAGTTTGAAAACTCAGAACACTCTGGGCTGCAATTCATTCTGACAAATCAGTTCTTAAGGTGTTAGTTATATTGCAGTTAAATAATCCTAACATCTCTGCTGGCTTTCTAAGTTTAACCTCTCACCCTGGGAAATCTGATTAAGAGAGAAATGTAGACAAAAAATACACCAAGTATTTGTTGCATTTCTCTCCCCTTTGGAACAGTTGTTGGTATAATACTTCCTACACCCAAAACACAATGATGTATATTTAACTGCTTTATAATTATGCGAGCAATTTAGAGCAGTCTAATAGTGACTTATCCTAAATCTGCTTTTTAGGCAAATATATTATGATATTTGCAACTTTTCTGTTATCTCAGAATCAAACTGCACCACTTTCAGATGCAACAGAGGATAGTTTAACTCCTTACCTCCTTCTCTGCCACAAGCACATAATGATGAAAGTATCAAAGAGACTGCTTTTCACCGTCAAGCATTTAAGGTGTCCAAGGGCTGATTTTTCTCAGATGTGTTGCCCAAACCATGTTTTACTCCGATTCTGCAAAGCACTGATTACAGTGCTTTTGTGAGTGGGATTGCTGGTATCATCGCAGGACTGGGGCCTAGGAAGCCTTACTTTCTGCTAAATGAAACTCTTCCTCTTCGACTAGCTCATTAGTTGGACTTTGACAAAGCTAAGGTTGAGTGATTGTTTCCATTTGGAACTTTTTTACTGTTAAGAGCTGCTTGTCTTCAAAATCAGACTAAAGCTGTTATTAATGCAACTGGAGACACAGTATTTTTGTGCTTAGATATTAGGCTTGCTGCTTAGCATGTCTAAAATTAGGACAGCATGAAAGTTCAAGGAGGAAAATCAACACTAAACCTAAGGTCAGCATAAAACATTCAGATCACTCCACAAAGGAAAAAAAGGAAGAGTCATATAATTTAAGAACACATTTCCGTGTCTGCAAAAAAGCAAGTGCACAATCTGGGTAGCAAAGAAAAGATGGATTTTTGCTCTAGCTCAGATCAACTAATTTTGTTTTCTTTCCCATCTGTCCTCCATGTGAGTCTGTCCACATGAAAAATCCCGCTTGGTGAAGCCCCACAGGGATGGCATCCATATCACAGCAAATGCTGGGACCATTCATCACTTTGGTGCCTGGGATAATTTTACAATAACCTTGGCAGGCACAATTCTACAAAAGATGATTTTCAGCTGTAGGCCTGAAACCAGATTAGATCTCATTGTTTAATGACCAGCATAGTCATATTCCCAATGCTCTTAAGTGAGGTTTCTTTGTGCTATGTATTTCTTCATTTCAGCATTACACTTCGGATGCATAAAGGGACTGCCTATAAACTTATCTGAGACATTCCAGTATTAATCTTGGACAAAAACAAAAGGGGTAAAATTCATGGGATGTAATTAGTCAAATTGTAATTGAGTTGAGATTAGAGTTTGTCAAATATTTAAAGTTTCTGCCCTTCATAAAAGGGATAAAGGATGAAAAGTATGGGGTTGGGATAATCCCAGACAGAATAGATGAGTAACAATGAAGCTTTCAAAAGAAAGTTCACATATGTCTGTATGACAGTGAGATTTATGATTATTCTGAGTTGTTCACTTCAAAGTATCTTTAAGAATGGTTATTGTAAAATGGAACAAGGCAGAGTGAATTTCACATTGTGAACAAAGAAAAATTATCACTGAAAATTATCAACAAAAGCAAAATGGAAAAATGAGCTAAAGTCTTTCAGATTTTGTCCTGCACTAGACCTTAACTAGTATATATATAGATTTCTAGAAAAGGAAAGTAAAAGAAAAATGGGGGGAAGGTTCTTTATGTTATGTGTCTCTACTTGGTTTCATAATAACATATTGCTACTAATGCCCCGCAGTCCCTTGTTCCCTAAGGTAGCTGAAAGCCCCTCATCAGACTCTAATGAGAACCGGGTCAGAGCCCACGTGAGTGCACTAGAAGTCCATTTCAGGTTGGGTTTCTTATTAAATCACAGGCTTGAAAAAAGTCTGTTATTCTCAAAAGACATTGAAACAAGTGTGAAAGATATGCTGACTAGAAGCATATGTATTTTCTAAAGAATTGTTCTGAGCACCACTCTACAAAGTTTTCACTATGAAACCTATAAGCATTAAAAATATTCTAGAAGCTCATTCTTTCTTTTTCGAAGCACTGAGGAAACCAGGGCCTGTTCTTGCTGAATGTAGGTTGATTTATGCAAGTGAAGACAAATGGTTCTCAGTACGCAATCACCAAATTCAAAGTGAAATTCTAGAGCTTTGAACCCACATGACCTGAAGAAGAAACTGGTGTTCACACCAACCCTTGACAGGCAAAATTGCTGAGTTAGGAAGAAATATCAGCCATTCATCTGAATAGTCAAGGAAAAAAAATAATATTCCATGAATACCCACAAAACAAACTCATTATTTTTAATTTACGAAATTTATTGCTGCATCGTTTGTCACCCTCCCATCCCTTGAAATAATCAAATATTATAAAATATTTTGTGAGAAATAGAGTAATAGACTGATACCCACTTACCTAGGCAACAGGAGCAACATATTGAGGAGTGCATGTACACTTGCATTTGCTTACAGGAGTCTGAGAAGAAGTATGAAGGGATACAAATATGCCTTCTCATGCACATATATGCTAACAAAATGATTAATTTCCATGCATGTTTCCCTTGAGAAACTTTTCAAGATAAACATGAAAACACATCTCCAGGTACTGGAAACTCAGTGATGATCAGTCTGGTCTGTGGGAAGTAGGATGCAAGTTGATCAAATAAAATTGGTATTTTCAGTGGAATTAGAATTTGCTTACGGAGTGGCCTCTGTAGGTGTATCCATACAGATGTATGTAGGGCTCACCATCCTGATAAGGAGTAGGAACAATTTCTGCTTCTCTAGGTCAGATGTGTTGTATCACCAGGTCTTCTGTGGAAAGGTCACTGTGTGCCACTTTCCTGTCTCACCATTCCTCACATGCACTCATTAACCCTGTTACTCCTTCCTCTCTACCAGAAGACCCTCACCATCCTTGAAGCTGCATAGATGGCAGATTCCTGTTTTCCTTCTTTCCATCATTCCCCAATTTCTGTTGTTTCTTTTCCCTTTGTATGGGAAAGAACATAATTTAGAATGTCAATATAGTAACCTTTACAGAGACGAAGAGCTCATTTTGGTTTATAGTTGTTTTTGGTTTTGTTTCCTTTTACACTTGGAAGTCTCTAACGCATGTTGCTTCACATAGCCAAAAATTAGTCCTGTGTGAAATCAGTGCAGAAAAGTAAATGGATTAAAACCAGACTGACTTTAAAATAAAAGCAGCTAAAAGGAGTCATTGCTGTGTGCAGTCATTTACGAGGGAACGCAGAGGTTACCCTCTATCCTTTGGAAAGTCTATAGAAAACCTTTGGTAATAAGTACAAAGACTGATGGAGCTATACAAATGAAGTATTCATACAGGGAGCAATGTAAACATTTTGGTAAACTGTGCACCAGGAAAAAAAAAAAGAGCATTTTAAGGTAGGAGCACACAACTGACAAAATCCTCTTTAGTGACTAAATTGAGTAACATGTAAGTATCTCCTGCGCTCCTTCACATTATGATCTAACACTAGGAGGAAGTATTAAGGCTGGCTATGATTTATAAATTGGTTTCCGAAATCTGAGCTATTGTTTCCTGTTGAGCTGCTACCATTCCTACTGCTGGAGCAACAGGTGTAGTGAATTGTCTTTGTAGCATCTATGGACTCTTGAGGAAACCCTGGAGTCACTACCAAATGTTGTTGATGTTTCTTCCCCTTCCTTTTGGGAAACCAAAGCATTTTCTGCATTAGGGCAAGAGTTATGCTGTGCCCTGACACTTTAGTCATATGGGGGTTCTCTGGACACATTTCCTAACAAGTCACCCTTTAATCAATTCTGCCCCCACATCACCACTGTATGAAAGTGTTAGGATCTTACCACTGTGGTCAGCCTTGGGGGTCCAAAACCAGGAGGGTGGCATAATACTCTTAAAATTGTAGAAAAGTAACACATGTATCTGTTTAGAGATTGAGTGTGTATGGCCAGGAGCAAGGAGGGAGAAGGTGGCTTCTTCCAGCTTTATGGAAAGAAAAAAATGCCTTGTGTATAATGCTCACCAGCATTATGCAAAAGGCCATGGGATGCTGAGTGAATGAAAACGCCATTCAGCCTCCTAAAAGCATTTTTTATCTTCTAAAAAGAGGAAAGAGTGTAAAAAAATTGGGTGAAACTGCTTCTTTTGATACATGTGTTACAAGAAATTTAGGGTTGCTTGCCCTGAAACAGGATTTAAGAAAATAAAATGTTTGGAATTTGAAGCCACATAAAATAAAGTCTGAAATAAGAGGCACATTTTTATTGGTGATGATAGTTAATTATAGGAGTAGATCATCAAAGGATGTGCTAAATTTTCCACCACCTGAAATCTTTCAGCAAAGATTGGATATGTTAGTGATTATCTCTTGTTCAGCCAGAGGTTACGGGCAGTGTTATGCAGAAAATCAGATTAGAAACTCATAATGGGGCCTTATGGCCATGAAGGTACATGAAAGTCAATGGCAAAAATTTGCAGCAGTCAATGATTTGGTTCAAGGCAGAAACTTCTAAATGCAGATTTCTGTTTTCCATTCTGAATGATGAAATGTCTAATGTGACAGGAGCTGAATTCTGGCTGCAGTTAGACTGATGTAACTCTGGTAACTTCAGTGGAACCGCAGGATTTGATACAAGGACTTTTCAGACCTGTCTGTTTTGACAGAAGCATTATTACCACTTAATCAAAAACTTTTACTTTGAGAAGCTTGTTGCCATAAGCATTTATTGTGAGAAGAGAGGGTTTTTTTTTGGTTTGTTTTTTTCTTTTTTTTTTTTTCCTCTAGAGAACAAAGGAAAAGAAAAGGAGCATTTTAAAATTATAAATGCACCTGACTGGTTTCACTATGCCTAATAGAGGAATCTGTAATCAAAAATAAGTATCCGATTCCTAATAATTATTTCCAAGTTCACTGGCTAAGGATCCTGATAAGCTGTGAGAAGTGCTTTGTTTAAGAAGGAGTTAGGATACCTCACTGTCATTCTTTCAAGTTGCTATCTACCACACCGAGCAGAATCCCACAACTTTACAGGTGGAGCCACATTGCAGCTGGTGACACAGACAGATGACATATTTATTAGCTTGTCAAAGCTTCCTCTGTTTATGGAAGACTCACCCAGCTAAACAAAACAGTCTGCTTCCCATTGGCTAATTGAGCTGGCCCCTGTTGAGAGTCTCAGCAAAGTGCTTGATGAGGCATAAAATGATGATTAATTAATTTACTGCTCAGTTGATCATCAAACTGAGAGGTTTATGATTCTCACAGCGGTCAACACTCTCTCTTCAATGTGCAACAGCATGAGCAGCCTTCACACTGGCCTGCTGCTGCCTTTGCTATGACCTGAGATATGGTGGCTTAACTCAGGGGAAAAAGGGAAAAAATGAAAAGTTTCAAAAGGGATGTACTCAGCAGCCTTTCTCAGAGAGGCTTGTGAGTGCCAGAACACTTCTCACAAAGGGGCTTTTCATATCTCAGCAGTAATTAAAACTACTTTGCTGGACATTATTTTAGTACAGTGGATTGCATAACAACCTCCCTAAAAATAACAGTTTCTTCTCTGATTGCATAGGTGAAAGTCAGAATTGAAATGAAGTTATATAAATACAGGGCTTCACACTTGGAGGTATAGGTGTGTTAGAAGAAATGCCAGTACGAATCCTGATTGGGGTTGTCTCTTTTTTATTCCTAGAGCTTAATTTTAGTAATTTAAAACTCCTTAAAAAAACGCAAAAACCAAACCAAACCAAGCAAAAAAACCCAACCAAACAACAAAAGATAATTTTGAAGCCTGAAAGACTTAACGAGAGGCATTCTGTGCACAGTAGACACCACATCTAAAAACATTATTCAAAAAACGTTTTTGCATTTGTATGCATTTGCAGCTTGTGTGCAGCCACCTAGTGTTTTGCATATATTTTTGTGTGCAAAATTTTAAATATTTGCACTTATGATAATATCCTAACTTTTCTCTGAAATTTTAATTATTCATTCCTAGTGTGAAGACCACTGAATTCTGCTTTAGTTACAAGAATTTAATTCCAGAATAGTGCCAGGTGAATGAATATACATGTAAGAAAGTAAATCCTGTTGTCAGACAAGCATGTTTTATACCAGCCATTTCTCACACCAGCACGGTGTGGGACATATACATTGGTACAAGGACATGTGCATGCTAATGAATGCACATTTAGAAATTTCTTTTTTCGGTCAGACTGTACCAGAGTTATCAGACGTACTGAAAGACACCAGGAAAAGTCTTCTAAATGGCTGCATGCCTGAGCATCTGAGTGGGAAATAAACAGTTTGTCTGTATAATGGGAAAAGAAGGTAGGTTTGCAAATCAGGCTCTTCTTCAAGCATGGATAGCCCATTCTTGGACAGGGTTCTGTCTAGGAAAAAACTCAGTTAGAAAATGAAGTTGTTTTATATAACTTCCATCTTTTTATTTGGCTCAAAAGAATAATGAGAACAATAAGCAAGTCCAAGAAAGGAACTGAGTTAGTACAGTCAGTAGATACTTTGTTTATTAACTGTGTTTCTTCTTTGATTCAGCCAGGGAATCCAGGGAAAGCAGTAACTTTTTCTCAGCAAAGCAATGCAGAGAAACCTAAGTTAGCATATTTACAAAGAATATGTTATAATGCAAGAAAAGAACTTAGAAAAAGAACAGAAAATTAATAAATTATGATAGACCAATTTAATTTTAATAAAAAAAAGGGAAGAAAAACAGCGTGGATGATGATAGGATGAAATATCAATGTGTTCCAAGAACTTGCACCTTGCTCAAGGAATGGAAGAAGTCTCACTAAGCAATGTAAATCACTAGATTACATGGACCTACTTAAATAACACACTTTTTCAAATGTAACTCATCTCTCTTTTGGAAAAATATATATATAAAAAGAATTCATAAGAATTTCCTTTCAAAACATTTAGGAGCAAAAATCAACAAATATTTAGTGTAAACTTCTGTGATGTGATGTGACAGTGTGGGCTGATGTTTACTCTCAGGTGTGTAAATGGAGAGTAGTCTTTAGGTGCTAGATGTTTTTTACCTCAAAAATGGGATTATTGATATTGCAAAGACTGTATAAAAAGAAACTGTGAGAACAAATTTCAAAATCATGATCCAGTCAATGAGATAGATCTACTGTTACTAGATGCAAGCTTTATGCTGGCATTTTCAGATTTGTTAAAGTGCCGCTGAAGACATCTTAGAGGAGTGATTATGGAATTTAGTAACTTGCCCAGACAAGAATACAGGCAGCAAAAAAGTCAGACTTAACTCTGCCATAGTCAGATATTGATTGCTAGATAGTTATGTTTCTTTTGGACATCTTTTATGCTACCTTTACATTGCTATTGTCAATAAAGAGTAACAGTGTAATGGAAGCTCTGCAATTCTCTCTGCAGTGGGCATTCTGGTAGAAAAAATTGACCATCTCTGATCTTTCCTCACTGTTGTATGTGCTACCATAGTCTAAAAAATTCATTATTTTGTAACCATGTCTGCTTTCTCTCACACTTCTTTTTACGATCCCCTTCCCAGGGTCTGCATAAAGGTACATAGTCCTTCATTTTTATAGCTTCATAAAATGTAATGGTAAAAATACCATTAGCTAATCTGGTTGACTACCTTTGAAACATGGGCTGTAGAATTTCACCTGGTTATCCCTGCACTGAGCTGAATAATGTGTATTTGACTAAAGTGTATCTTCCAGATGGATATCTAGTTTTGATTTGAAGACATCAAAGGCCACTTCCCTGACAGTTTTGAAAACATCAAAGAGTACTGAGCTTATGGAAGATAAAAGAAAATGAGCTAATTGCCTGGATGCTGAAGGGAAATTTACAGCAAATATTTTGGTCCTATTCTGGGCTTTAAAAATCTGGTGTACTGCAAAGACTGCAAGCCATTATTACACACATATGTAAAATAGGCTTTTTTTTTTTTTAGATCCAGGCTTCACATGGTAGACAAACAGGTCTTGAGGAAAAAAAAGAAAAATAATTTAACATCTACCATAGTCTACCATTGGCAGTCTTTGTAATGGACAGTCTCAGGCAGAAGAAAATGATCAGCTGACTTTAAAAGCAGACTATCAAACTCTCTTAGTTAAGTTATAGACTAGGGAAAAATGAAAGGTAAACTGAAGAAAATGGAAGGAGAGAAAGGAAAGTAGAAAGTGGTTCAACTATAGTTCAGCAGTCTCAAAGGGAAGACTTTCCTCTTGCCTTCCCACTCTGTCATAGAAAAATCAAGGTTTAAATAATCTGCTTCTGAGAAGTGTGGTGTTTTGTTTTGCTTTTTTTTTCTCTGTAACTTTACATCTTTTTCTTTTGTTTTGTTTTTTTTTTTAATCACGTTCTACTTTCTTACTAGTAGAAATAATATTAAGAATACATTTTCTGATGAATTTAATTATTTAGTGGCATTACAGGGCAGACATTCTAACATGTAGAAAGATTTAAATTATGTCTCAATGAAGCCTTTGTATCTTATTATTTTGTCTTTTTTGAGAATGTTCAGTTTTGTGCTTGAGTAATCAACTAACAACTTTTCTGTGTTTTAGGACTGAAGAGTCCCTAAGTACTAGCCATTTTCAGTGGTAGCTTGGGCCATCACCTGGTATCTGGCAGGGACACAGGGACCATTTGACAGCTTGGAAACATTTGATAACAACAATTTTGAGAACAGATTGAATTACACTGTTGAAAGAACAGTGAAAATAGTGAAACCGGAATTGAGAATATTTTAAAAATGAACTAATGTTTCACAGAATGAAAATATATGGCACTTCAATCAGACTGAGAAGACTTTCCTAACAGCATGGCTGAGAAGAGTGTGAGATACTTTTCTTACATACTTATCTTATAGATTGAACCCGATGAACTGTCGCTTACTGTAGCACTTCCGAAATAAATAAAAATGAATGAAGACTTTACTTGGTTTTGCCCTGGCACTTATGAGATTTTATTTGAGTAGAATGTAACTGTGGCTCAGCAAAGAAAGACTCATGTCCCTCTAATAGTTCACCATAATGGTCTGGGGAGAGTTCACATTAACTACAAACATCCTTTGGCCAAACACATTCTTCTGACAGTAGGTTCAGCCATGGACTGTGGACAGCTCCTGGAAGAACAAATTTCTTCTTGACTTTTCCCAAGTACGCTCCTGCAACATAGCCGTGTGGGCATGGAAAAACCATGAAATTTTATCAGACAGCTTTAACAAATGATGGATTTGCCATTGAATATCCTCTTTGAAAATAACATTAAGTGGGTTGAAAAAGAAATCTTCCTTATTCACTGAACTACTTGTTCTTTAAAAAGGTTAGCTTATTAACTGGTCTGTTAAAGCTGGCACTGGAAGAAATGGTAGAGAAGAAAAGGCAGAAAACACACAGCTCAGTCTGGCTTGGGAAGCACTGTGGTTAAATCCACAAGGCCAGAGAATGCACACCATTGAGAAGGAATGAGGAGGGTGGACAAAGTGAGGCTGAAAAAGAAATGCATTATTACGATTATAAATATTTGTATACAGATAGGGAAAAAAAATTTGGAATAGAGGTGATTCTGCATAGCATTTATAAAACAAAATGTTGTCATACATTAACAAGCTGACCTGCTGAATCTGGCACATTACTTTTTATTGCTGTAGTTGCACTGAATCATTGAAAGTAAGAAATCATTAATGAAACTAAAATCAAGGAATGAAAAGAGTGATGTAAAAATAAACTGAAGTGTAAAGTAGATTTTAAGTCATTAGCTGATAAGTCTGCTTGCTCAAAACATTTCTATCCGTATAGATTTTCATGATCTTATTCACTTTCAGTAGGATTCCCAGAACAGGGATGACATTTGAAGACTCCTTCACCAATTTCTCTCTATTGTTGTTAAACAGTATCATTATTCCTTGGATCAGGACCCTACTTAGAAAGGCACAGTGTAGTACAAAATTTTATTTCAGATAAAATATAACAGTAGATCTTCCCAGCTATGGATGCAAAGCTTGTTTCATATGAAAACATTTGCATTGACTGATGAGCACCTTGCTGTGACAGATCAAGACTGCTACTCTAACAGTTAAAATGGTTGACATCTTTTTGTTATGTTGTCCAAATGATAAATTTGATATTTCAATCAGAATTACTTGCTTCTCCTGTAATTCCATGGCTATTTATCTATTTGGCACCTAATTTTTTGTTAGTTGTTTGTGATTTTTTCCTTTTCTTTTTGGTAGGATGATAGTTAAGTTTCCCAGTCAGAAATTCACATATCTTTGTTTTTTAGAAGAACATGTGGCTGTTGTCAACAGTATTTGACTACACTAAGATGCATTTATTGTCAGCAATAAAAGAAAGCATCCAAAATGTTTATCTAATTATGCTTAGTTTCAGGAAACTAGCAAGTTTCCTCACACAAACAGAATAAGAATTAAGGAGGTGTAGTGCTGAACAAAACCACCTCTATTGTCGAACATTAAAAACAGTTCACTTTGAAGATAAATTAGTTCCTCAAACTTAAAGTGCCCTCAAGCGTGAATTTTCCTGTGTATTTTTGTTTTCCTTTATTTCACAATTTGTTCATTTGTTTTAATCGCAATTAAAGCTAAAATGACTTAAATTTTGATAAAGTCACTGTCTTTGGGAAGTATCTTGGGTGGCATTTACCAAAAATAAATTTCTATACTGTCATACTGTAAGTGACTACAGACTTTAAACCAATTTCTGTGAATTCAATTAGATACTGGATTAGATTTCTGAGTTTTTAAAGCATTAAAAGATCAAAATATTACATTTAAGCTTAATACTCTTGTGTTGTACCTTTTTCCACCATAAATCTTTATATGCTATCATTTAGCTTTTCTGTGATCCACTGATATAAAAAAAACCACCTTCAACTATATTGGTTAAAATAAATTAGATATCAAAAATCTTCTCAGCTTTGAATTAATTTTTTTCTTCATATACTTTGAACAAACAATCACCATAAGTTTCAGGAGAGTGAGCAGGGTTTGAGAATTATACCTGCATTGAGCAGAGTTTGGCTATGCTTTACTATCAAAGGCACAGATACTTTTGTAGAAGTAAGTCTTAAAAGGCCTATCAAAGCTAATGAAATAAGAAAACAAATAACACTGTAAATTGAAAAAATAAATGTAGTGTTTAATGAACACTTATTGACCAATAACCTGCAACTAATGTAACTGTAGATTTTTACTTTGGCTATTCATAGCTTTAAAAGGCAGCCATTTGAAGCTGTAGAGACAATAGGGTGAAGTGATGGTTAACAGAAATGCATTTTATTAAAAGCTAAATTAAATAAGACCAAATTGGAAGTAGATGAAAAATCCTGCTTAATTTAATATACCCTTGGCTGTTCATATTGTTGAGTCTTGCTGGTTCTTTAGCATGTAAAATGGGGAGGTTAAAATCTGAGAGGGTTTTTTTTGCCATTGCCAGCATTTCTAACAGAAACTGTAATTTTAGTTTGATATTTCTTACAAGCAACCTGTAAGCTAACAATGCTTTGTAATGAGGAAGCAGCTGACCTTCTAAAGCCATCCAATAACAAGGATTGTATATTGCAAAGTGTACACTCTTTATGTGGGACTAAATTGGACAATCTTTATTTACACTGGGTACTTTCTCATCATGGATAGGACACATTTTACTTTAAATAAGAATTATATAGACCTTACAGTTTCCTGTAATTTACACAAAATACAAAGAAATATAAAATACATAACATATATAGAAATAAAGAAAAATTCAGTAGCTTAATTTCTGCAAGAATTATTTGGGAGTGAGGCTCAGGTCCAGAAAAATAATTTTAAACCCAAAGCAAGTCTGGCTAATGAATGGATTACATAACCTTGTGTAACGCTTTGAGATTTCACCCTACTGAAAGAACAGTCAATTTTTCCTTTTCTTTTTACTTTCTGTGTGGACTGTGTGAGCCTGCCAGGTGCATGTGGCTGACACACCAGCCATTCTTGGACCTATGGGGCTCTGGCACACTTAGAAGGCCATGGTCTGGATGGTGTTTTCCTTCTAAACTTGCCAAACTGCAATAAGGCAAAAACTTGGGTTTCCCAGACCATATAAAGTTTGTCTTTGCTATATGAAAGAGGAGTTAGGCATCCCTTATGAGTTCAACAAAACAGGAATGCAAGCGTGTGTTGAATATACAGGGGCAGAATGCCTTATCCTGCCAATGGGAAAGTCAAGTTATAAGCAGCAGAACAATTGATTTGGGCACCTTACTTAGGACTCCTGGGACTAGTGGTTTGGAACTTGTCCTCTTGATGAATAAAAAAAGTCATCTCACCCTTTGCTAACAATCTGAAACAAATAAAAAGATAAAGGACAGGCAAAGCCCTGCTCTGAATTCCCTTGTTACTGGTGTTACTCTAAGGATTCAGAGATAAGTACTAAGGTGTGTTCACATAGCATATTGCGTTGGGTTTTCATGTCAAGGCTTTTGTAGCTAGGGGGCTACAGGGGTGCATTCTGTGAGAAGCTGCTGGAAGCTTCCCCTGTGTCTGATAGAGCCTATGCCAGCTGGCTCCAAGTTGTACCTGCTGCTGGCCAAGGCTGAGCCCATCACCGACAGTGGTAGTGCATCTGAGATAATTAAGAAAGGGAAAAAAGAAATCCCATGCAGTAGCAATTGCAGCTGGAGAGGAGTGAGAACAAGGGAGAGAAACAGCTCTGCAGACACTGAGGGCAGTGGAGAAGGAGGAGAGGAGGTACTCCAGATGCCAGAGCAGAGATTTCCCTGCAGCCCTTGATGAGGCATGGTGAGGCATTGACTGTGCCCCTGCAGCCATAGAGGTCCATGGTAGAGCAGACACTCACCTGCAGTCCATGGAGGTCCCCATGCTGGAGCAGGAGGATGGTTGAAGGAGCCTGTGACCTCTTGGGAAGATCCTGCTCTAGCTACAGTAGCATATTTGCATTTTCTGAGGGTGAAGAATGAGGCAGAATTTCAAAGGTATTTAGGTTATCCAGTACCACTTACACAATGAAGGAGTAAAGGAGGAGTAAGTGCTTCTGAAGTTCCTTTAAGGCATTTGTTTGCTTTTTGGAATTTTATCCATGGAAACCAGAAACATCTAAACTAAACTAAATAAATCAATTTTAAAATACACCAATGTTTTAATAAAATTGTTATACTTATTTTTTTTTTGGCACATACAATAGAGTACAGCTTAGCTAGCAAAAGAATGCAGTAATGTTGTATATGTGCACATTAATTCAGTGCTGGTTTTCATCTAAACGTTGTTTAGTATAAATCCTGCAGGGAGGGAGAAGAAGAAACAATAATCTAATCGTTAAATAATGGGCCATTCTTCATCCTTAATACACTAATGCAAAAATTAAGAATCAAAATATATTTTAAGCTATATAACCACATTAACAAAGATTAATTGACATAGTTAACCAAAGAAATGTTACATTTCGTATGAAGGCTATATTTGGTGAAGAAGCAGCATGTTTTGAAGGACAAATCATCAAACGAGAATGTATCTTTCTTTGGGGAAAAAAAAGAAAAGAAAGAAAATACAGAAACACAAACCAAGAGGGAATTCAGTTTAAACAATGTTCCATGCATTCTTATTCAAAGTATTAAGAAAGTTGGCAATATCTTTCTCTAAGTCTATCCATTTTCAGTACTTTGTGTTTTAGGTACAGTTTCCCTAAAAAGGGGGAAAGCAGAGCCCTCCACAGACTATTCCTCCTTGCCATGCAGTCTGCCACAGGGAGCAGGACAGACAGTAAACTCTGAGGACTAGCATGACAAGTACACTGTTCTTTATCCAGAGGGCAATGCAGGAGATCTGTATGACTTTGAAGCCTGAGTCCCATTTACCTGCCCCTGGGGCTGGCTAACTTCAAGCTCCAGGGCATAGTGCAATTCAAGATTCATTGGATCAGGAAGGAGAACTCAGAAGTCCTCTTTCTGGATAAGTGTTTTGTCCCATAGGTTAAAGTCATTCATTTTTTTCCCTCCAGCTTAACTAATATTGATTTTTCTTTGCAAACATAGCTTCCACTAGTATGATGACAGAAATTTACCCCAGCAAACCCTATAAGCAAGTAATTATAGCTTTCACTTGAGAAATATGTATTGTCTGTACTGTGAGCTGAAAAGTGCTTGGGCAGAGACTGGCAGCAAAAAAATACCAATGAGCTGACTGTTGTCCTATTGTACAGAGGGAAATGTCTACTACTTCCACACCTGTAAAACTCCATGTGAATGAGCTGTCATATGTCTAAGTGTATAAGAAGATTTTGGGCAGTGATTTCTGGTATACCAACCCCCAGAAACAGGTGGGTTATCCCTCAGTTATGATGTCCTGCATTACAGGTTCTCTATTCACTATCTCATATAACCAACTTCTGATGAAGGGGAAGGTGAAGAAAAATTTCCATGAATAACTTTCCTCCTCAGAAGCCAAATTCTATTAAGGAGATAAATAGTTTCCTGTCCCCACAGGTAAAGCAGAGAAAAACCATTACAAATCTACTCAGGCCCAGAGACTGATCCTGTTGCTAAAGCATATTCTACATTCTTCCCAAACATGTTCAGCTGCAATTTGGCCAAGTGCTAACTTAGTCTTCCCTTCCCTTAGTGTCTATAAGTAGCTAGTTTTAGCAGTTCCTCAAGACATGCTGGCACTTGGGATCTTTTTCTTAGGCATCTATTTCTTCATCTTTAACCAGATCAGAAACTCAGAGAGCTGGATTTCGCAAGCCTGCTAGGTAGCTAGGTGTTGAGCATCCCTGTTGTCATAATACATAGACTGCTTATCATTCCAGCCCAATGTGCCTCACAGAGCAATTCACAAGGTAGTGGAGCTTGGAATAGCTTCCCTCAGAGCCACGTGCAGTAGACATTACTAACTTCTAAAGCAGGAGGCTAGGAGAAATGTAATAGCCTTTTAATGGAATAGTCTTTTTTTATGCACAGACTACTTTCTTGGGGTATGTTCCTGTCATGTAATTTTATTTGACAATAACTCTTACACTGACAAAGGGAGCTTTCAAGAAAAAGAAAGAACAAACAACTCTTAAAATTGAATACATGAAGATATAAATGACACAGGGAAATTAAAACTCAAGGTGAGCTTCAAGGTACTGAAGGGTGGAGGTGGAGGAGAGGGAAGCAGTGAGCAATGGCAGTGATTGAAGAAGGGAAACCAAAAGGAATCACAGGTCACAGACTTCCACACAAGCTTCTCCATAAGGCTCCATAAAGCAGGTGTTGGCCTGCCCCCTCCCCAGCACCCCTCCTCAGCAATAAGTGTTTTTCTATGGCTTGCCCTTTAAATGTTCAGAAGAGAAAAATCTGACATCTTGACACAATTTCTATATATGCAGATGATGCAAGTGCATGAAATGTAGGTTTTACTAATATCTTAAATGTAACGTGAGGCAAACATTAAGCCATGGTGTTTAAAGGTCTGACTTACTTTTAATGTAAACAGAGGATTTATGCATACCTGTGATTACATACCAGTTTTGTTTTGTTCCTATGGTCACGAAGGTGTCAGTCCAACACCATCCTCACTTGGATATAACTTCCACAAGGGATTTATTCACAATAATTCAGAGATAATTTCACAGTTCTGTTACCCAAAGTGTGCACTTCAGAATAATAAAAAGAGCAATAAATGTATTCAAGAGAAAGTTTATTTTAATTCTTAAAAGTTTGATGGCTTCTGAAAGCACCTTTTTGATACTTTTATTGCTGAATAACCACACTCAAAAGTTGCTTTTCATCATGGACTGGTGTTGTCAAAGCACCATTATACCATAAACCCTAAAACCTTTTTTACCATTAGGAGTATGCCTTTCTTAGAAAAGTATATGGAAGAAACCCCAAAAACTAGCTTTGCAGTGAACTCCAGAGATCTATAAAGACCATAATAATATGCTATGGTAATGCATAATGAAGCAAAAATGCAGACCAGGAAGAGGATTCATGAATCCTTAACCCTAGTGTTAGTTTTCAGAGAATTATGGCTCAAATACCTTCAAAGAACAAATCTAATGTAATGTAACATACAGAGAGAGGCACTTAGATGCCCAAAACAAGACATTTAGGCCTTTATAGGTCAACTCTGTCTTAAATTCCACCCGAGAATTAAGCATCAACTGGTAAAGATTTCTACACTATAATCCCTGTTTGCATCTTTTCAGAAATTGCAGCAATTTTGTCACGTTGAGTATTATTAAGGTGCAACCTTATAAAAAAAATGCAATCAAAATGGAGTTATTGATCACAGTTTTCTCCAAAACAAGCTTTACTCATGGTCCCAACTGAGGAAGATTAATTTCAACATGAGTGCCTCTTCTGCCTCTCTGATGTCACAGTCTGACAATCAATATTTTACTCTTCTGATGGGCTGCAAACATTTCATTTTTAAAGCTCATATGAAGCGTATTTTTGATGTGCAAATATTGATAGTATTTTGGGGGAATATTTGGACTTTTTAAAATTCTTTCAAAGCCAATCTTGTGTGTATACATGTATGTGTGTGCACATTAATATATTTTCAGTTTAAAAGGACCGGAGTAGAATAAGATGTACTATAATTTGTGAAGAGAATCCACCTTTTGCTACAAACTAAGATAACATAATGCATCCTGTATTGTGTATGCTGTATTGTGTATTCTGTACATTTATTATTTATGACTATTTCAGAAACATATGTTTTTTCCGTACCCTTTCCTTAAAAATGGAAGTTATTTTGTTTTGTTATGTTTTGTTTTGTTTTTTAACTAAAGATGACATGGAAAAAGATTGTCCTTGCTTGTGATACTAGGATTATCCATAGGAAGTTAAAATATCCTTTTTTCTCTATGTGAGTTTTGCTTGAGTTAAGGATGTTGCACCTCCCTAATCGGGGAGGTTCAGTCTCTATTTTCTGTAGGTACCCACCAGAGGGAGAAACAGAAATTTACTGTAAGAATTGACCGAGACAACTTACAGACAGCAAAAATTCATAGCGGGTGAAAAATTTCTCAAACATTTAAATAGTTGTAGAAGCATTAATGTGCAAAACACCCTACATCCCTTGGAATTATTATTTTCCATGTCCTTTAAAGCACAAAAAAAGCTCTTGGCAGTCCTGGGGTAATGATTGGACTTAGAATCATAGAATAGTTAGGGTTGGAAAGGACCTTAAGATCATCAAGTTGCAACCCCCCTGCCAAGGGCAGGGACACCTCACACTAAACCATATCACCCAAGGCCTCGTAAAACCTGGTCTTGAACACTGCTAGGGATGGAGCATTCACAGCTTCCCTGGGCAACCCATTCCAGTGCCTCACCACCCTAACAGGAAAGATGATCTTAAAGGTCTCTTTCAACCTAGTTGATTCTATGATTGTGTCCTTTATGTGCAAATATTTACACTTATGCCTGTGTACATTATAGTGGTATATACATATGAAATTATATATACATATGTTTGCCTTCTGCAAACACTTCAGAAAGCAAAGTAACTAGCAAGACTATTTAGCAAATCAGAAAACCCACATTAGTGCTGCTGAATATGGAGACTGGGTTCTTAATTGCAGCTTGACAGTCGGATTCTAACTTTTATGTATGCACAATTAACTAACAGCAGGACTATACAATCCTTCAGCCAGTCTGGTCAGCTGCCCAAATATGCTAAATCAGAGGGGTGGTGTGCCTGGAGCACTTTCCAGCACAGTTTCTGTTTCATTGGTTGTTAGCTACTCACATACAAGGCAGAGGATTTGCACTATTGTTTTTTTTTCAGTAATGATCAAAACAGGGACAGGGCTGGGTAACTATCCTGGCACATTGGGGTGGTTACATGTCAGATACTCAATGTTGACAAAAAACAAACTTTAAATCAATGAACAACAGGCTTAAGAAATAATCAGAAAAGAAAAGGAAATTGATGGCATGTTAGAAAAGGATTATTATTGCTTGGGACTGGAAATTAACACAGAAACCAGCCTCAAGACACATCACAAAAGCAAATATAGACATTCTCAAAGGTTTATATGCCTCAGGACAAAAATCATGACACAGTATTTCCTGCAATACTGAGCAGAATTCATTTTTTCTAATAATTAATCCTGGAAATTAGTCACAAGTCTATCCTCATCATTATGTTTTGGCAGTCTGTGTTGAGCTGATTGCTGGGTAGACATTGGTTCTCAGTAAGTGACTGAAAACACTAAGTTGAAGAGAAGTAGACTGATCCATTTGTGAATTATGATGAGGCTGGCATCCAAAAGACTTTGGAGGAGAATAATTATGAAATGTCTGTCATTTCATCATAACAGTCTGTCTTTAATCAAAGCATGTTGTAAATAGAAGTGTTCAGAAGTTATCAAAGGAAACAAAGTTTTGTCAGAAAATGCTACTTCATCCAGTCTGAAGTCTTTCATTTAAAACATCTTGGGTTCAATGAAGTTTTAGCAAACTCAAGGCAAAGTTCAAAGAGAACCCTGCCTGGATTCCAGCAGAGTCTGCCTGGGCTACGGACATTGGAAACAGCCATTACAGGTCAGATCAAAACTAAATGAAAGAGAAACTTGCAGTGAACTTGGAATCCCAGTTTTGGGCCAGCTTTGGTTATGAGGTATTTTTACTGCTATTTAAAAAAGAAAACTTTGTATCTAGGACCTACAGCCACATAAACAATTTAAAATTAGAAGAATGTGATCAAAAATGCACATTATTCTTCTGCTATGACCTCTAAAGAGCATCTGAAATTAAAAGAAATTATACTGAAACAGACTTTTTAGGAGTATATGCATTACATGTATGTATTTATAAAATTAAGTTCCAAGTGATATAGATGCCTCACAGAACTTCATTTATGATATTTGGTGACTTTTTAAAACAAAATACAAACGTCATTTTCATTACCAAAATATAAAGTGAAAAAAATATGCACACATAAAATATCAGTAATTGTACTTAAATATGTTCAGGTCAGTGTCTATTCAAGAGAGAAGTGCCTAAACTCTGAAAAGATAATTTTGCATATCTCAGTTCCTTTAGAATCATTTCAGCTATCTCTTGTTACCATTAATAAAGTGAGGTAAGGTTGTAATCATGATGGCATAGCACATACATTCTAGTATATAAAGAGAGACAGTAGATCAACTGAAGGGTAAACACCCAGGCAAATGTCTTAGCATTATTATCTTGTACAAGATATTTAACATAACACTATCTTACAAGCTCATAAAATTTTTCAAGTAATTTTTGAAATCCAGAATTCTTTCTGAGCTTTTCTGTCTGTACTAAAAATAAAAAAAAGGTATGTTTCTTATCAACTTATTTGAAAGAAAAATCCTATTGAAAACTAAACTCATTTCAGTTACATGTTGAAGTGATTGTGCTAAAGGGTCTTACTGTATAAATGGAGCACACAAGCCAAAAACAATACAAATGTTTAGCTGCTGGCTTTAGCCAGTCTCTTTCAGTGCAAATCATAATTGCTTTAGGACTTTCTGAATCCACTTTTGAATTCAAAGCTTCAGACAAATAATTGGATTTCCTGAAAACATGCTGAGCTATGTTGCTCTCCCTGTCTTGCTTTATGTCCTCAGGGCTCCAGTCTCTGCTTTATATCAAGCTGCACCTAGTAGGCTAATTGGAGGGATGGGTAGATCACTCTGCATTAACATGTCCATCTGCATTAAATAAAATCTCCTTAACAGTCTTTATCATCTTCAACAGAATTATCACTTCAGAGTTGAAGAAACAGGAAATCAAGTAAAAATGGCTGCGTAATTTACCAATGGCTCGGGTGCCTTAGCCCTGTACACACATGGTCCAAGCCAATTATATTCTAGCTGACTTATTTTTACAGTACTTTGACGTTGTATACTCACTTCATGTGTCTCACTGACTGGAGGGCAGCTTTAAATATGCTCTGGGCTATCTGCCTAGACATTTCTTGCTTTAGGTAAAGTACAGTTGAAATACCATTTGAGTTTGATCTGCAGGGCTTGTAAATATGTAGTATCAAAGATTAAGCTCTTCAGTTTCCCACCATAGGGGCAGGTGTACAAAAGATAACATATTGAAAAATAAGGTGTTGCTTTTTTATTGTTGTTATTTAACATTAATATCATGTAATAATCTGGTGACCTTTTTTTCCCCCATGTGTGGAAAAGGAATAATCAAGCTAGTGTGGCTGCTGAGGCAAAAAGCCATCCATTGCCTGTGAAATCTCTTGGGTCAGGTTTGCACTAAGAGTTCTCTTGGCATAGCTGTGTTTTGTCAAAGTCTGAAAAATTTGCACCTTCTGGCTGACCTCACTGTGTTGGAAAACACTAAACCCTAACACTGTGAAGACACAGTATGGCTCTAAGGGAAGTTTAGGATGACTTCACTTAAGACATTCAAGCAAAGGGCATACCAATGCTGACAGAAATTCTTTTCTTGTGTCTCAGCACCAATTTGATGGCACTTTTCACCCCTTCACATGCTATTTGTAACCAACCTCCTTTGCTACTGCTACCACCTTTATCTCTATTCTTTCATTGCAGTCCCAAGCATAGCAGAAGATGGAGACACCTGTCTAGTCTTCACAGTAAGCAACCATCTTCTGCAACCTGTCTGTTACCTTGATGGGGTTTGACTTACATATCTGGCTCTTTGAGGACTTTTTTTTTAATTAGGTTTTACTGGTTGTGTTCTTGAATTCTGTTATTTTGTACTTACTGCCAACTGAAGCCATTTTGCATGGCTGAAGTAGAACAGTTAATGATACCGCAAAAAACCATGCATTGAGATATTATTGCGCAGAAGCATACATACTGGACCATCTTTTCCATTTTATTTCTTTTCTGGTCTGGGTCTGCTTAAGTTTAAGATTGTTTTTGTCTCCTACAGTTTGTACCTTTATATGATCTATCAAAAAAGCCTTACTGGGTAAACCCAGAGGATTAGCGCCAGAATGCTGTCTTCACGAGGTGGCCAGTAACGGGAGAAGGGTTAGTGCCACCCGCTTGCCAGAAAACAGCAGCAGCAAACCACCAGTTACTTCAGGGCTTTCCCTCTGTTATGAACAGATTTAACATAGTCCCTGTACTGACCCTTCTGAACACTAAAGATTACTTCTCTTTATAGTGAAAACTGACCATATATTCCTACTTTCTCTGTCACATCCCAGACAGTTTTTACTTGTGGAAAGCCTTTCCTTATTCTGCTAAGGCTACTGAATTTCCTGCACACCCTGCCTAATTAAGCATTTTCCTCTTCTGAGAGCATCCTCAGCAAGCTTATTTTCTTCTGTCACTGTGGAAGATCATCACTCTTTGGTTTGGCACAGCTGCGGTACTGTTACAGTCTCTGCCAATTATGGATGGATCTTATTACTGAGGTTAAGTTCTAACCCACCCACCTCCACCGTCATTTGAAAATCTGTAATAATTTTGTCAAACCTTAATGGCCATTCCAGATGCCCATTTATTGTGGCATGACCCACAAGCTACTGTGTTACAAATGGTCACAAAAATATACGCACCATCTGTGGTAATGTTTGAGTTTTCTATGCAACTCTTGACATATAAACCAGGAATCCAGCCATTTCTGGTAATAGAAAAGTTGGTCAAAGCTGGAATTAAATCTGAATATTAAATAGAAGATATCATGTTCCATCTTCAACAGCTGATTTTTTTTTCCAGAAACCAAATTTACTTTGATGAAAAAATGCTCTGTGAACAATGTATCTGTAACCATTATGCATCAGATGTCAGTTTCGTGTATAATTATTCTTTTTATGTCCAGGTAAG